AGAAAAACATCAAAAAACGTTTTCTTGCAATTTGTTTGGGGTCACATGTCAGATTGACCCTACTACTCCTACAAGACATAAAAATAAAAATAAAGAAGCATAGGCCATATTTAATATCATTACTGTATCATATTATATCATTTTTTCGTCATGTACATAAAATAATTCAAAGAACGTAAACGTATTAAAAAAAACGCAGATGAAGACTCAAAATGACACCATAGCTCGGATAATATTAACGGTATGAGATGATAGTTATGCATGATTATTTATTTATATTACTTTAAGAGTTTTTTTTCTAAAAAGGTCGCCCTTCCAAAAGAGCTGATATGTAGGGGTCACTTAGAGAAATAAAGACGGTACATCAAAGAATCATTAAACAAACGAAATAATGTATTCCAATCATATCTTCATCATCTCGATCATCATCTTCATCTTATTAATACTATACTATTATTATCAGCAAAGACGTTAGTCTATTATTCACATACCTCGTGGACCTACAGAACAAAAAATAAAGAAGCACAGGCCTATTTAATATCTTATTATATAAAATAAAACTCGAAAGATCTTGCAACTCAAGGTGTCCGAAGTAAGAAGAAAAATAAGCAATATAATAAAATGACAAATGCCAACAACAGCGATAAATTGAATATTAAGCAAATATGACTTCAATTTACATTAAAAACGCATACACGCATTTGCTGATGAGAATAAAAAGCCGATAATGTAGTTATTATCATTATCATCATCATTATTAACATTGTCATTACCTCGAACACTACTCACCTTATGGAGGATTTTGCCGAATTCCACTTTGCCCTACAAGACGAAATTGAATAAAACTTTTGACATTAACTTCACTTATTTCATTACAAAATGTTTACATTAAACACGTGTTATAAGAAAGAACATGTTCATGTTGATAATTATAATACAAATTATCATTATTAGGCCAATCTGAAATTGTAAGCTGTAGGTTAAAATTATGAACCAAGAATGTTTTACACAAAAAGTCTTTGCATATCGTGTGTTTAGTCCAGGACACCATGGCACCGCGGCAGCTTTTCATAGATTATTATTCATAGATACTAGAATATCAAAGGCCAGAATACGTAAGTGGAAGGGCCCAGAGACATGTACATGGGAAACACCAGTAGTGCAACACCAGTATGCGTTCTCGTGCAGCGCTACACAAGGCCCCGACCCCCGGGCCCTGAAGTGGCTCCTACCCGTAAGGTCCTCAGTCAGCACACCCTGACCCAAAAGAGCTTTGTTGATAAATGACAGCATAATATGTCTCTGACATCGACTGTAAGACATATATATTATATCCAGAGATGGGTTAAATGGGGTGGGGGAAGGGGTAAGCCGGCTTTGTCAAAATTGTTAAAAAAAAAACTGAGATAAAACGAAAATTATTTATGTTCAAATGGCCATCTCCGGCCATCTAAAGGTGCCATTAATTGTCTTACCTCAGCCCCACATGGTTGGGACTGGGGTGGTATAAACCCTCCATCTATTTCAAACTCCTCGATCCACCAATAATAACATATCATTTATTTCGTCTTAAAAAAAAATTAGAATAAATCATAATTGAAAAAAAAAACAAAAAAAACAAAAAAAAACGAGCAAAGCTAAAATCCCATAATGAAAATTGGGGACTGGGCAATCGAAACAGATGAAGACAAAACGAAGAAAAAGGTCAAATGTCACCATAGCTAGGAAATATTCACGGTATGAGATGATAGTTATACATGATTATATATTTATATTATTTTAATAACATTTTATGAGGCTCGTCCTTCCAGAAGAGCTGATATGTAGGGTTCACTTAGAGAAAAAAGACGGTACATTAAAGAATCATTAAACAAACGAAATACTGTATTCCAATCATATCTTCGTCATCACCTCCATCATCAACTTCATCTTATTAATACTATACCATTATTGTCAGCACCGTCGTTAGCTTATTATTCACATACCTGCTCCTACAAAACATAAAAATAAAAATAAAGAAGCATAGGCCATATTTAATATCATTACCGTATCATATTATATCATTTTTTCGTCATGTACATAAAATAATACAAAGAACGTAAACGTATTAAAAAAAAACGCAGATGAAGACTCAAAATGACACCATAGCTCGGATAATATTAACGGTATGAGATGATAGTTATGAATGATTATTTATTTATATTACTTTAAGAGTTTTTTTTTCTAAGAAGGTCGCCCTTCCAGAAGAGCTGATATGTAGGGGTCACTTAGAGAAATAAAGACGGTACGTCAAAGAATCATTAAACAAACGAAATAATGTATTCCAATCATATCTTCATCATCTCGATCATCATCTTCATCTTATTAATACTATACTATTATTATCAGCAAAGTCGTTAGTCTATTATTCACATACTTCGTGGACCTACAAGACAAAAAATAAAGAAGCACAGGCCTATTTAATATCTTATTATATAAAATAAAACTCGAAAGATCTTGCAACTCAAGGTGTCAAAAGTAAGAAGAAAAATAAGCAATATAATAAAATGACAAATGCCAACAACAGCGATAAATTGAATATTAAGCAAATATGACTTCAATTTACATTAAAAACACATACACGCATTTGCTGATGAGAATAAAAAGCCAATAATGTAGTTATTATCATTATCATCATCATTATTAACATTGTCATTACCTCGAACACTACTCACCTTGTGGAGGATTTTGCCGAATTCCACTTTGCCCTACAAGACGAAATTGAATAAAACTTTTGACATTAACTTCACTTATTTCATTACAAAATGTTTACATTAAACACGTGTTATAAGAAAGAACATGTTCATGTTGATAATTATAATACAAATTATCATTATTAGGCCAATCTGAAATTGTAAGCTGTAGGTTAAAATTATGAACCAAGAATGGTTTACACAAAAAGTCTTTTGCATATCGTGTGTTTAGTCAAGGACACCAGGCACCGCGGCAGCTTTTCATAGATTATTATTCATAGATACTAGAATATCAAAGGCCAGAATACGTAAGTGGAAGGGCCCAGAGACATGTACATGGGAAACACCAGTAGTGCAACACCAGATATGCGTTCTCGTGCGGCGCTACACAGGGCCCCGACCCCCGGCCCCGAAGTGCCTCCTATCCGTAAGGTCCTCGGTCAGCACCCTGACCCAAAGAGCTTTGTTGATAAATGACAGCATAATGTGTCTCTGACATCGACTGTAAGACATACATATTACATCCAGAGATGGGTTAAATGGGGTGGGGGAAGGGGTAAGCCGGCTTTGTCAAAATTGTAAAAAAAAAATGAGATAAAACGAAAATTATTTATGTTCAAATGGCCATTTCCGGCCATCTAAAGGTGGGGACTGTGGTGGTATAAACCCTCCATCTATTTCTAATTCCTGGATCCACCAATAATACCATATAATTTATTTCGTCTTTAAAAACATTTAGAATAAAATGACAATCATGATGAAAAAAGGAAAAAAAAAGCAAAAACAAAAACAAAAAAAAAACGAGCACATCTAAAATCCCACAATGAAAATTGGGGACTGGGCAATCGACACAAATGAAGACAACCCGAAGGAAAAGGTCAAATGTCACCATAGCTAGGAAAATATTCACGGTATGGGATGATATTTATGCATGAATATTTATTTATATATAATATGTAGAGAACTAAAACCGGTACATCAAAGAATCATTAAACAAACGAAATACTGTATTCCAATCATATCTTCGTCATCATCTCCATCATCAACTCCATCTTATTAATACTATACCATTATTGTCAGCACCGTCGTTAGCTTATTATTCACATACCTGCTCCTACAAGACATAATAATAAAAGGAAGCATAGGCTTATTTGATATATTATCATATTATATCTTATTATTTTTCAGTTACATAAAATAATACAAACAACGTAAACGTATTAAAACAGATGCAGATGAACACAACCCAAAGATAAAGCTCAAATGACACCATAGCTTAAAAAATATTCATGGTATTTTTATTATTTCAATAATTTATTATTTTAAGAGAGTCGCCCTTTCAGAAGAGCTGATATGTAGGGCGTCACTTATAGAAATAAAGACGGTACATCAACGAATCATTAAACAAACGAAATACTGTATTCCAATCATATCTTCATCATCTCGATCATCATCGATTAATACCGGTACTATACCATTATTATCAGCAAAGTCGTTAGCCTATTATTTACATACCTGCTCCTAACAAAAAATAAAGAAGCATAATGCCTTTTAATAACTTTATTTAATAAAGCGCAAAACAATATCCATTTAAAATGATCACCGGCGCTGTACAGAATTTTAAAATATACATTTCCAAAAAAAAATACATAAGAAATATACAATAAAAGTTATAAAAAAAATGGAACAATAGGCCTAATCATCACAAAATCACAATACCATTTATAGCACATCAAAAATCTACATTGAAATAAAAGAAAACGCGACATGAAAGAGAACGATAAAACACTAAAATATTTTTGGATTTTGTAAAAGGAAAAGAGAAAATTTCAATTAAGTTGGTTATAAAATAATAAAATTAAATATTTCTAAACAATCGCATCTTGACTTGCGAATGTAAAACCTACCGTTTTCAACAGGTAAGGCGGCAGCAAAAACATATTCAGTCAGAACACACACTATCAGAAATACAGCCAACACTTTCAGGGTACTAAAATAAAAATATACATTGTCTGCAATAATATTCTGCCGTATATACGGGAAGATCTTTTTAACGAATTAATATTACTATCACTTTTGAAACAATGTTAAGCCAAGTACTCACTACGTTGTACGTCCGCTGCACAACTCCCTGTAAAGGCCAACTCAGACAGCGTCGTACGACGCAGCCCGACGCGATTTGTTGTCGCGTCGGGCCTGTGTGAGTTAAACGCATAGAGCTATTAAACGATGGTGTGCGTCGGTGGCAGTCGCGTCATAGAATATTAAACATGTTTAAAGCCCCATTTCCAGCAAAATTTCACTAAAATCTGACTTTTTTTAGAAAATATTCATTTGCATTACTCCAATTATTATAAATCATGGAAAAATATTGGCATGAATTTTAGTTATAAAAAAAAAATTAGAATAAAAAAAAAAAAGAGAATTACAGACTATTTCTCATAAAATATTACCATTTTCTGGACGAATTCATCGTTGCTAGGCAAATTCAGAGGTTGTAGATCGCATCCACTTGAATACTCTCGCTTTTATGTATACTTTTATACAGTCAATAAAGTGCGCCCTCTCTAATGAGATTAGTTTTTGTACTTCGTATCTCGCACAATGCGGTCGTTCGATTAAGGCTGAGATATGTTTGTTTAAGTGTCAAAATCTCAGTCAGAATCAGTTTTTTAAAAAATTTGAAATAATTCCTATGAAATATTATATTTCACAAGTGTCAAATACTAGCAACGGAAAAATGTCAGCCGTTTTTATGTGTGATAACAGAACCTAAATCGAGGTAAGGCTAGGCCTAGCCTAGCAGCGCTGGATAGGCTAATGATAATGTTTTCGGCACCTACGATATTTCTTCTCACGACCTATCGCAAAATCAAAATGAAAAATTCATCCGCATTTATTTTTTGTGTGGAACACAAAAAATCAAATTTCAGTCTTATTTTACATTTTTTCATTCTTAGGAATGTCTAAATTCAGTTAAACTAGCAATTCCGTATTATATTTATAAATCTTTATAATAACATTATACAAAAATTAGATTTTTCTTAAAAACTGAAATTTTGCTGGGAATGGGGCTTTAATATTTCTCAAATCGGGTCGGGCTGCGTCGGCCGTCGCGACGCCGTCTGTTGATTGCCGTTGGAAGTGCAATTAAGGTCCATTAAATAAGCCGATTCGTAGTTTGAATTGTGCATGCTCTTATTCGAGGTCAATCGGCATAAGCTTATGCTGTGCGTATGTTATGTCAATTGACCTTCATAATAAGCGCATCCGCAGTTGAAAATACGAATTGGCTTATTTCGGAGAGTCTATCAGCAATACAACATTACTGACCAACACGCAAGCCCAGAGATACGCATTTGTTCCTACACCTGGTAGGACCTACAAACGCACGTCATTAATGCGGTTTTCCATTAGGCGAATTTATATATTTTTTTTTTTTGAATTTGAACTGTTCCTATTTTTTAAGAAATGATTTATTTTGTTTTTGGTTTAAATTTATGCGCCGCAGATTTCTATTCATTTCTACTACTACCTCCGCCACCGCCTCCCCTGCCCCTGCTACCGCTAATGCTGCTCCTGCTACTAATACTATACTACTAATAATAATAATATAATAATAACGATTTGTAAACAGGAAACCTCGCCACCAACATTGATGCTCAAAGCGCAGTGTCTAAAGAAGAACAACAGTAGGCCTAGAGAACTAATATTACTACTACTACGACTACTGCTACTACTACTACTACTAATAATAATAATAATAGTGTAGTTTTATATAGCGCACATATCCATCTAATGTAAGATGCTCAGGGCGCTTGAAATGTGGACTAGGAACTCGACCAATGACTTTCTTCGCCCCTAAGGGTCCCTTCGTGTCTGTGCTACCCGGTAACCGGGTACCAGCAACTCTCGTCGTCCACCACAGGGGCTGTCTGTTCCGGTACACCGGGGTAACCCCCTACTCGTCTCGAAGGATGTTCTGGGTTCTTTATAGTGCACACGAGTACTACTACTACTACTAATACTACTACTACTACTACTACTACTACAACTGCTACACATTATTTAGAAATTATAAAGATTTTGATATAGAATCTTTCAACAAAGAATTACATGAAAGTAACATAATAAATGACTTATTTATAATTGGTAATGAAAATATTAACTATGTTTGGAACAACGACATGCCCCATTAAAATCAATGAGAATAAAAAATATATTATCACCATGGATAACACCAGATATTATTCAATCGTTGTACCAACGAGATCATGCAGACTGTCAGGCAAGCACAAAACAAAATAACACTTAGACGCTAAGGCCTATAGAAAATTAAGAAATGACGTCACTAGTAATCAAGAAAAGCAAAGATTGATTATTTTGCTGAAATCGAACATAAACATATGAACGACCCAAAAAAAAATTGTGGGATGAGATGAAGAAAACAACAGGAAAAAAATTATAAACAAAAATATTACTAATCCAAATTTAAACTGCGAAGCTTTTAACGACTATTTTACCAATATTGGAATAAAAATATCACACTCATTCGATGAACCAAAAGCAAACTGGAAAAATCCAGAATGTAGATACCAATTCTCTTTTAAATACTGTAACCAAAGAAGCAAAAAGGCAGTTCTCAATTTGTCTAACGGTAGCAGCACTGATCTCCTTGATTTTGATAGTAAACTGTTAAGAATGGCATCAACGTACATATCAGATTCTCTTCGTAAGATTTACAATGGCTGCGTTCTCACACGACTGCTAACGGTTAGCAGGATCCGGATCCTGCTAACTTTAGCTGCCGTGCGTCCATACGAGAAGATCCCGATCCCGATGCCAAGAATGATGATCGGATAACTGGCCAATAAGTAAACGCGTACTTGTGATTGGTTGATGATAGAAACGAGCTCAACGTGCTAACCGATAGCGCTTGCTAACCGTTACGGTATCCGGATACCGCTAACGGTTAGCGCTAACTGAACGGGCGTTCTCACACAGGTGCTAACGGTTAGCGCTAAAGGTTAGCACCCGATCCGGATACTAGGGCTCTCGTGAGTACCGGGCTATTATGTCGTTAATGAACGGAGAAATCCCTGCTGATTGGAAGATAGTAAGAACTACACCAATATATAAGGGATACACATCTAGATGTAAAAGTATATATTGGATGGATGTAGGCCTATTATTACTGTAAGTTACCGGGCGGTATGTACAAAATCTGGAGGAAGTAATCAAATCCGTCAAATGTAATTCAATTTTAAATAAGATAAGATTGGTTTTCGGCACGTTATAAAGTAAAGTAAAACATCAAGGCAAATTAAGTTTTATTTTCTATGGTGCGATCACAGGGATTAGATCTCTGATGTGATTTAGATAAAAGATCATGGAAAATATGTTAGTGTTTCATTTTGATTATAATGGTGATGTGATGATAATGAATTTTTCTATATAAAAGTGTCATTTCCGGCCATCTGTGGTACAATTTACCCACATTTTTGCACCTCAGCCCCCAATATGGCGGGGCTGAGATGGGTGTGGACTCGCGGCTTAAGTAGGTAAAGTAAAGTTAAGTTATATTTGCTATGGTACATCACACAGATTATTTAGATCTCTATGACTGCCGAAAATTATAGATAAAAGATCATGAGAAATTTTTTTGGCGCTTTATTTTGAAGTGATGTGATGATGATGAATTTTACTATATTAGAGTGTCATTTCCGTCCATCTAGAGGTACAATTTTCGCATCTCAGCCCTAACC